CACCACCACCATCATCATCATCTAAATTCTAATCTTTCTCAATTCAGTATATGGATGACTCAGATGTTGAAACCCTGGTCCAAAATCTATTGTCCATACTAGATAAACCAGAGAAAGCTCTCTTACTCAGAGATATCAGGTGAGATGGAAAAAACTATCAGCTAAATTCTTTTCATTTTTCTTGCAAATATAACTCAAGCTCAATTATTCCATTTGTATACTACAGAACTCTTATCTCTTCATATGACCTTGGCCGTTTCGATGCCATGGTTTCGGCACGTGAAAAGGATGCTTTAGAATATCTGAGCATGTTTGTACCAGGTTGGTATTTATAATTATTAATCTAATAGTATTATTAATAAAATTTTCATGAATCCTATTTGCAACAAGCACTATAATATTTGTGTTAGCCATATAATTAATACTCTTTATTCAGGAGTAACCATAAATAATATGGGAGATTTTTTTTCCAGGTTCACCATCAATTTTGCCAACACAAGTAGAAAAACCCAAACGTCAGCTTATTTCAGTTATTCAAGGTATTGTCTTAGTTTGTTCATAATAGAGTGCAAATAATATACCTGTGAAATAGATAGCTAGCTAACTAATTACTAACTTTGTGCTATTGGGTTGCCTAAGTTTAATTAGTTAAAGAAATAGACGGATAAACTAGTGCAAGTGTGCTACTCAAGGGCGCACATTTTAAAATATTTTTTAACACACTTACAAAAACTGAAGCAATATTTTATTGTACATGCTTTTCCTTTGTGTAATTTTACATGTTCGCATTTTCGTATCTATTCATTTGCATATTAAGTTGTCACTCGAGTAAACGCCTGTGCCCTTGTCATGCCTCACTGAACTCCTATGTGTTGTCTAATTAAGTGCTAACTATCTCCTATTTCATCCTAACTATTTCATGGGTATATTATTTGCACTCTAACGATAATTAAGAAAAAAAAGGTTTTCACTAGTCTTGTAAAGTTTCAATCAACACAAAGACTGTTGAATAAATTGCCAAGAGTAATACAGTCCCCAATATTCATCTCCTAGATGCAAGAATCATAACTCTGGGCTACAAATCTTGATGTTCGACCTGAAATTTGAGTTTTCATACAAATTGAAATTTCATCTACTAGCACAAGACACTCACAGTCTTATTATAAAGATTTATAAAGAAAACGGAGGGCTATAGGTTAAATTCACATCTGGGGCTTGGAAATCATTTCTGAGTCTCCGGTCTCCGATCACATTTYCTTTATATTTATTGGTGAAGAAGCACTAGCAAAAATGCACTGGTTTCCCGACAGCTGTATTGATGATGACAGTATAGGGCATATATTGAAAGTGCACATGTTTACACCTTTTATCTTCTTACCTTTAAATAAAATTTCTTTCAAAAATGTCTAATATTTAAATTACAGATAGCAGAGGTGGATTTCAAATAAGGAGTAAAGAAGAATTAGAAAAAATGAAAAGAGAAAGGGAAAGGGAAGAACAGGCAAAAGCCGTCAGACGAGAATGGCTTGGTGGTAACATCCTTGATCGTCAGGCACGTATCGGCACATCAGATTACTATGCTGTTCAGTCAACCACTCCTGATGCCATTGAGATGGTTCCAGTTAAAGACACTGGCATGCCTCCAGTAGAAAACATTTCTAATCCATCTCCTATGACACTCAGTGTACCTGTTATTCAAGTAAATAATGACGATAATGAGCTAGAGGTTCCCATGGAAACAAAGCCTAGCTCTAACACTCTCTTAGTGCCAGACAGAGTGGCTGTTGAGTATAAGGATGATGATGATGATGATGATGTACCAATGGGTGGAGGTCAGTCAGCTTTTGTTGCCGTTCCTTCAACATCTGCTGCATCCACTTCAGGATCGGAGAGTTTGATCCTCCTGCCAAAGAACCGAACAAGCTTAGGTAACCTAGGACTTTGATTATTTTCTCTTTCAATCTGTCTATTCTGTTCCATCCACTTGCAACCATCCCATTCATTCATTCATCTATCCATCTATTAATTCTTTCGTTCATTTTTCCATGTTGTTTTTAGGCATTGATCCATCGATCCATCCATCTATCCATCAATTATTTCATTCATTTTTTCATCTTGTTTTCAGGCATCAGTATATCTGGTGGCAAAGGAACAAAGACACAGCCAGAAATAAGAGTTGAAAAGATATTTCCTGGTGGAGCAGCACATGATGATGGAAGACTAAAGGTAAAACATTGAAATATAATATCCTTTATCATTGCTTATGTTTTTTTGTCATCATTGCATTCATATGTAAGTTAGTATCATCAGCCATGAGTGTCATGCTCGACATGTATTAGTCATAAATCAGGGATTTCAGCAATTTTAGTCGGGAACAGGTACAGGGTTCAGAGGGCTCGACAGCACATTCCTACCCTAAACGAGCAAGAGAACCCCACCCATATTGACTTGTCTTTGTGCATGTATACACTTATTTCAATAAAGGTAGTCACCTAAAAAGCTACAAAGCTGAGACGGGCAAGGATTATGGGTAGATACATTTTACATCTTTCAACCGCTTGATAACTGTTGATGGACTTGAGATATTTTACCAGTAACAAGTTCACTTCCTCTGAGCGTCCTTAACTGCTGCAGTTTGTGTCAAAAGCTTTACTTGTTGAATATGAAATATTTTCCAAGATTCTCAGCGATCACAGCTTTCTAGGTTTTTGGTGACTAACTTTATTGAAATAAATATATGCACTCAACAAAATTAACAAACATTTCTAAGTGTATAATAATCACTCATTATTTTCAGTGTAGGCTCTTAAAAGTATGTAAAAATAATGTATCTCTATTTCTTATTTCAGAGTGGCGATGAAATTATATCTGTGGATGGCACTAGCATGAGAGATGTGACTCATGCTGAAGCCGTCGACATAATTAGAAGGTCATACAATGATAAAAGTAAAAGGGCTATGCATATAACAGTGATTCCAAAGCAATAACACTTCATCCATAGTATAAAAGAAAAACATTACATGGTATACATTTGTTACAAGAAACAAAGTCAGATTTATAAAACCATTCACATTTATTTAGCAGAAACTAGCTGTATGAGTGACAAATGTACAGCATGTGGAAATAGGCAATTTTTTACTTGGGCATTAACAATAACATTTTGAACCATCGTTGACGTCATATCCTGGTTAATAAGAGGACATACCATGCTAAACCATTGGAATTTTTTTTTACTACAAAAACAGAAAAAGTTTGGAAGGAAAATGGTTTCAAGCACACTCAGGCATAATTTGTCGATGTAATTTGTTGGTATGTCCTTCAATTTACTATGGCTCTTGACCAATACGAAAGCAAGGAAATTTACTTTGGGTGTAAAGTTTTCCCAATTCAGAATACATTCTCTTGAGATTTTTCATTTAAGTTGCATCCGCATTTATATAATATAATAAACAAAGAAACAGCAACTAAGAGAATGAGATATTGATCTGAAACGGGAAACCATATGAAACTGAATTTTTTTTAGCCAAGATTTATTTCCAAGTTCAATGTTTTATTAGCCTAATTAGTATTCAGCAACCACAGCATATAGTGTAATAATTATATAACCAGTTTTGGAAAACTGTCTTTAAAAATAATCCATTTGCAACAATGAAAATGTAATTAGCAGGTATAAAGTGAGCATGCTTTTATATAAAAAAGTTTTTAAAGTCAGAATGAACTTTGAACTGACCAATACACATTCTTGTAAGCCATTCAACATATTGGCAATCTGTCCAGTGATTATTAGACCAAGCTTCATGCAGGCTTGTTATTAAATGATTGATAACAAATCTGTAATTTTTTAGTGCATCTGACTACAAATTTGGGCAAGCCATTTCATAATAATCAAAATCAAAACCAAAGCTCTACTTCATTAGCATCAGCAATCCTTTTACAGCATGCTTTTTAGAGTGATTTTCATAAACCCGTGAAACAAATACCATTAGTTAATGTGTAATAGTTAAACACAACAAAAGAACACAAAGGAATTAGGGTCTACTAATTTGTATGAGGCTAGTGTGTATTTCACGGGTTTATGAAAACCACTCAAACTAGTTATTAGCTGTTAACCTTTAGTGGCGAACAATGCTTTATCAATATTGATTATTATTGAATGTATGTATTGCATAGTACCTGTTTGGAATAATAATTATTACCCACGATGTTAATTAGACACAATCATGCAACACTACAATAAGTAATTAAATTGTGCAATATTATTTTAATGGTAAAAATGTCTTTCGAAATGCAGAATATCCACACTTAGTAGCAGTTTTTTTCCATCCCCAATCTTTTTACTATTCTAAATTTGAAAAAAGAAAATTTTTTTGAGCAGTTTAGTAGTGGTTTTAAGATGATGCCATCATGCTAACTGCCTATTTGACTATTATGATATGGACACATGGAGCTAAATGTGCATAACATCTCATAACAAACTTACCTTTCCCTTCAGATCAATCCATGGTCATTTTGATCCAGATCGTTAAGATCGATCATTCAACCCAAGTATACCCTTTCAAGACATCCCTGTGTTGTTATCTCTAATGTTAACGTAACTCTACCTTGGGAGTAATGTTTAACCATTTCAGACCTCTTGCTATTCTCGAGTAGTATCTAGAAAAAGACGCATGGCCCAAAATAGGAAAACATTATGCCCAAGGTAGAGGTTTTTTAAAGCAGTTTTCCTATGAATGTGGACAGCTCACAGCAAGTACTTGGTTGTGACACTGCAAACATTGCACAAGAATTTACTCTCCATACAATCAAATAGTACCCATTAAAATCATTCAGCTGCCATTTCTTGCAAAAGACAACTTTTTAATGTTCTAAACAAAACTAGGCTGATACAAGAATTCAAATTTGTAGACATGCAATTTTTTGATCTGTCATATAATAGAGGCTTGTGTCTTAGTCAAAGGTTTGTATGTATTCAAAGGTTTTTGAATTTGGCATGAAAATAGTGGTTAACATTCAAATAAAGTTAAACCAAATCAAATATTGCTTTCCAATTTTGTGGTTTGAGGCTTTGATAGTGTATGGCTCATACGACTAAAATGAAATGAAGGAAAATTGCATATCAAAATTTTTGTCATTACTATGAATGCAAGAATCACAAATTTGTTAGGAAATAGAATTTAACTCTACATGTCTCAATATATTACAAGTTTTCTATTTCTTAGTATCAATTTGCAAAACCATCATTCTCGGGAAGCCAGAGGTAGAATTCGAGCGAAAGAATTTTTACCCTGGTTTCCCAGGGATGGCAAACCATCAGTCTCAAACTACAATCTTTTGATAAACATTACTTTGATTTATTTACATATCTTAATTTTATCTCAAGTGTGTTTCCTATGGCACTGACACTTTTTAATGTGATCAGTAAAATCATTAAAGAAATTAAGTTATGAATTTTATTAGTGTTTCCAAAAAGTAGACATCCCTGACCCGTCAAATGTAAAAAAGAGAAAAATATTACAACCTTGAGGCCTACCCCTTATCCCATTTTGTTGACGTTGCACTCCCAAACTTATTGTCTTCAGTATCCTGTCCTCTAGCCTGCGAGTAAGGTAATACTTAAACCTGTCTGCATTGGGGTGTACATTTTGGAAACACTTATTTAAGTTCTGAATTATGAAGAATATCCATTCAACAAAGTTGAGTGTCACATTTAGAAGTGGTAAGTACTGTAATTAAGTGGCACAATAATTTTGTGATGCAAGAAATAATTTCTAGTTTTTTTGTTTTTTTTAGCTTAATACAATCATTCTCTACAATCATTCTCTAAATATCTTTGTACATATCAGCTTCAGTGTTCTTCATTATTGATCCTCTAGATAACAAGTCAACCCTAGTGAGATAAGATGCACACTTTGTGCGCCCATGCCTAATACTTATTATTGCAAAATTGGTTCAATTTACCATGTAAGAATTAACACAAAGGCTCCAAATATATTCACAATATATTGAAAATAAAAAAACTATTATAAAAAAAGATCTTAACTCAACTAATTCCTTTGTAACTTGGGAATGAATTACTGTTAGCAAATCCTTGAGATGAATTCATGGGCATTGTGCCCATGGGTTGCGCACCCATCATTGCAGGTGCGCCTGCCATTCTCGTGGGTCCTGGCATCATTCTAGGACTCATGCTTCCTTGATTTGACATCATACCCATACCGGTAGGTTGATACATATAGTTCATTTGTCCCATGTTTGTCATTTGAGGTGCACCCATGTTGAAGGCGCCTTGTTGTTGTGGTGAGTTGTAAGGCATTTGTGGTTTTTGTTGGGAGTATAACTGGTTCATGCTTGGCTGTTGTGGTTTGTCGTTCTTCAATGTAGGAATTAAACTGTCCAAGCTTATATCCACTTGACTGTTAGACCATGTTGTTGCTTTTGATTCTGATGTACTGGGTTTCTGATATGAAATACAGAACAGCATAAATAAATATGTTGTACTATGAAGGGACAAAGAGTTTATTAATTATTTTTCTGAGACTGAATGAATGACAAAGAAATAAGTATAATATTGAAGTTTTTGGTCTATCAATAAGAAGCTAATTCAAATTTGATGATTCATCTCACTTACAGGCTTTTCAAATGATGTATTACTTGTTGAGGAAGCAGTATTTATCATAACACCAGCATTAGCATTAGTAAATGAAGACTGTGGCATAATCTGAGGCTGCTGCATCCCTTGTGAAGTCATTTGTGGTTGCATCATACCACCACCCATAAACGCTGGCTGACTTGGCGTCATTCCCGTTTGTGCTGTCCCCATCGATGACATAGGCATGTTCATTTGATTAGAAGGCATTGCCATTGGCATAGCTGCAGGCATTCCCATAGATGTTTGCACTCCCATTGGTGCTGGAAATGGTAATCCATTAGTTGTAGACAAGGGCGACTGATTTAGGGAGAGTCCCATGAGCTCTGCAGATGGTGCTGATTGTTGTACTGGCTGTGATGATGAAGAGATTGAAGATGGAGTAACTGTTGACTGAAGGAAAATTTGTTTTTATTAGCAATGTATCATGTTCACAACAACGTAATCGATAAAGTCTATATTTATTCTACTGTATTTACAATTATCATATATGTACTACTTTTTTGTTTCATCCACACATTTTTTTATTTTCATATTGCTACTCATATACTTACACTTTGTGGAAATTCACTGGATTGAAACTCTGTAAAGAAATCATCATCTGTTACATTATTTGGTTGAGGTGCTGAATTTGCAGAGTGGAAGTCACCAAAACCAGGAGAAGTGGACACTAAAAAAAGAGAAGTTGTAAAAATAAGTAAGACAGTGTTTTTGAATTTGGATTAAAAGAAAATTAGGAAGATGTAAAAACAATAGAGCAATTTTCATGTGACTTTGAAAAGGTTGGTGCTGTAAGTGCTCCTTGCCAAGACTGTGATGTTTTCTAAGACTTTAATTGGATTATTTTTTTCCTCACGAAATGTGTTGGTCTGGCATACTTAAACAGTGCTGCGCATATGCATTGCAGTTTCAAGACCAATTCAGTGCAGCGGGCTTTTCACAGTCAAACGAAAACTGCAACATTACTAGTCTTCAAATCTACAGTCTTTCCTTGAGGTTCAGGAAGCTAAAGAAAATGTCAATAAAGACTCTGTACGGCTACACAAGAAAAAATGTTTTAAATTCTTATTTACCTTGACTGAAGTCAGCAAATCCACTGTCACTACCTCCTGCAGCTGACGATGATTGCAATGATGAAAAAGGGTCTGATGCTGGGGCAGGGATAGCATTACTAGCACTATTATTTGATGCAGTAGGAGACTGTGTTGACTGTGATGAGTTTGCAAAGAAGTCAAAAAAATCCTTAGAAGTTGAATTCTGAGATTTTGAAGAAGGTGATGTTGTACTACTTATGGTCGGATTTTCTGGCATAGCAGAATTTTCAGTTGCAATCCCTCTATAATGTGCTGCTGCTCCTAAATCTAATTTCCTGATAGGCGAGGACTTAAATATACTTCTATTTGTGGTTGTCTCCCCATTTTGTCCATCAAGACTTTCCTTTTCTTTTTCTTCCGATGCTTCTTCTCCTTCTTCTTCACTAGAAATTTCAAACCAAAACCCTTGCTTAACTATAGCTACCATCAAACTAATTTTCAAAACCAATTTCAAATTTAGACAATATTAGCTATTTAGTCAATCTGACTTCAAAAGGATTTTAAAATGCCACATTGCTTCAATAGAAAACTTATTCAAAGTAGCTAATCCCAGCAGAACGGCAATGCTCTGATTGATGAATGATTTCAACAAATCACCATAAAAGTGTCCATGATAATAAAATGGTGTCCACATAAAGGAGGTTCAGTTAGTAAAGGGTAATAGAGCACTTTTCAAAAAAATTTAAGATCAAAGTTTGAATAAAACAATTCAATAATAATTCTTTGACAGACTAACCTGTCTCTAAATTCAGCACCAAATGAGCCAGTTCTTTCTCTCCATTCTCGATATTTACTCTTTTTTGTCGTTTTGCTATTAAACTCATCAAATGAATCCTGTTGGCAAGTTTCTGCATCATATCGATCACCTGAAAAATAAAAGAGCAAAATAGTTATGAAAAATACGCTAATGAAAAATCTAAAAATTTCACTACGTGTCATGTAAAACGAAAACCAAACAATAAGAAAGACCAACCATAAACATATAAACAACAATTTCACACTCCACTCACCCCCAAGATTGTCTTGTTTTTTGTATTTTGTACTAAATGCTACGTGCAACAACGTATGGATAAAAATTGGCAATTAAACAACTTTAGTAGGGAATACACAACAAAGAAAGGGATTTATCTAGAACATCTTAATTAAGTGACAATGACGACATGCTTATTGCTTTTAATAGGTTGCAAATCTTTTAAAACAGAAGCGATCTTCAACAAAGAATATCATGTAGAAACAGAAGGAACAGCTCTTTTAAAGCAAGGTTGGAGGTCAGCCTGTAATTCAATAGTAAAGTGGGTCGGTCTTGTATGTGCTGGTATATTGTAGACCTTACACGTATTATAAAAGGCTTCCAGTTTGCGAGTGAGTGAGTGTATGACAGAAGTGCAATATAACTTACAGTGTTTAAACATTTATCATGCAGTAGGCAAGAGATGGTAGGCAAAGAAAGCATCATCAGCAGAGTGGGGCATTTATTAATTAAAAACGACATAACAGATAACAGACTACAGTATTGTAAATTCAGTATGCAACAATATCCAAAATATAACAACAAATATATCACTTACTGTAGTGCGAATCACGAAATTTATCAGATGACACCCCTGTATATTTATCACGGTTTTTCTTTGCCCTTTTTCGTTCGGATCTCATTCTTTCATCGTCTTGAATTAGTTCAATAATCTCTTTAACTTTATGACGAACTATAAATATTAATCCCAAAAACCCTGCGTTAGACTACGTCAGATAAGTGTTTTATAACCTGATTAAAGTGTTGGTGAATAATCAAGCAGTGATAAAATTGTACAGATTTCTCAAAATATTAGTATTATTGGTTTAACGTACTGTTTATGCCTTGATCTTTGCCAGTTTCATCAATATAATTGAAATTTTCGAGCTGTCTCATGTCGTAGACGTGATCCCTAGCGCTAGTCACTACTCTCTCAGACCCATTTCGCAGTAAATATCCCAGCAGAAGTAATGCCTGAAAAATGAATGAATTTAAGATATTATCGACCATTATTGGGCGCCAGTTTTTGAAGGAAGCATAAGTCTACCGAGAGATCACTTTAAAAAGCATGTAGCTTCAGTCTTACCTTGTAGCTGCGTCTCCAATTCTTTTTGTTCTCTTGCAACATCCGTTTCCAAAGCATTGACATAACCTCGGGAAAATGTTCATAAGTGTATGTAAATCTAGCCACTTCTTGCATCAAACTACCGTGGGGCCCCCAAGTATCATCGTTTGTTGCTTCACGAACCTTAGCTTCTACGTCGGAGTAGTTCATGACCACATTGGTCCTGAGAAATAAAGCAAGGAAAAGTTTGTGTGGTGGTTCAAATCCGTACCAAGCTTCATAACTGTCACCGGAACAGCGAAAATATTTGCCATTTTTAAAGATAAAACTTACATTTTGTCACTCAATTCCCGTATCTTCCACATCTTTGATCCGTCCTCAAGTCTTTTAGTTACTAAATGCCAACAGAAACTCTATGAAAAAGGTGCGATGGTAATGGATCTTAGATATACTGTACAACATCAAAATGGCTACCTTGGGAGAGCCCTTCCCGACCGGCTTGTTAAATATCCCGTGACGTCACACATACCGACGAGTCAGGTGATTGCTTCGAAAATATTCTACGTTTTTAAATATTTTATTTATATTAAAGTACATACAAAATGTTAATCTTATCATTACAAATAACGGATGTTCGAGTGAAATAAATGCCAATAATAAGGAAAATAATCATAACATAAACGACTCCATTTATATTGTAAACAACAGCTGAGCATATCTACTTGTCACAACAGCATTGAGCATAAATTTAGGATTCTTTACCTATTCTACTTTAATAAACATGAAAAAATTATTTGCTTGAACGAAAATAAACAATGGCACATTCCTTTTTTCTCAGGAGCCCTTAGCATTTTTAATATTGATAATTTTGATTGATTGATCAATTTTTTTTTTAATTTTCTTAATTTTTGAAATTTTTGATGAGGCTGTTCCAAATTCCTCTTATATATTAGCTCAGAAGAGCTCAAGAAAGGTATTTCCTATAACTCAAAAGTAAAACCATTTATAATGGAAATTATTCCCCAGAGCATCTTCTTAGAGACTAAGATACATCCAGAAACAAAAATACTGATAAAATAACTGAAAAACTGTGATTCAGCTTGCAACTTATTGTCTTTATTATACATTGGATAATATTTCAAAACTACGAATTAAATTACAAATATTATGGATTTTTCCTTTTCTGAAAATTTTTGTCACAGCTATTTATACATTGAGAAGTCATAAAACGACAAAAGTTTTTTAAAAGAAACAGATTGGGAATTGGTTGTAAAAATTGAGCCATATCCACTTTGTTTGTTGTTTTTTTTCAGAAATTGMCATGCATACAGTACTTGGATAATAATTAGGACTCAAAAATCAAGTTTTCTTGCTGTTAACTCTTCAAACTGCTTTGAAATTAAATTATATACTGCTGAAAAATGTTTAAGTTAATAAATACACTAGTTAAAATAATTAATGGATTAATTGGAATGCATGGTGATTGACCTGTTTGATAATGATGTCAGATGCATGTTCCCTTACTTTTGCTGTGACATGCTCAGGGCTTAAAATAATGGCCAATAGAGTGATAGTCATGATTGACCAGCCAAATTAGTTTCAGCTAAGTCATACCTTGTTGCTTGCTCAATGCATAGTTAATATTATCTATTAACTATTAACTATGCTCAATGTTACTGGTCAAATTTACTGGCAAGCTGAAGGCAAAGGTTTGAGAAGACAAGTTCAAGTTCTGGCCAGACATTGTCCAATAACTGGACAATATTTTAAGCCATGCACATTGAATAATCTTCCGTGTACTATATTACATTAAGTTTTACACAGCTTGTTTATTTTAAAACACACTATTCAGTGGAACGTAGCAAAAATTATTTACAACAAATTAACATCCTTAAGCTTTAAAGGTCATCTGACGAGCAGTTTGTCTCTTGTATGGCTTGTCTATTCTCAAAGATTGAGTTTACAAATTGGCACATCATCCTATCAGCATATCCAGCTCCTACAGGAAGAAGCCCCTCAGTGAATCCAATGTGACCACCAAAAGAAGTCAAAGCCATGACAACATTTGGGCACTGTTTGATTTTCTCCAGAGGAAGAGAGCTGATAGGGGCAAAAGGGTCATCAGCAGCAGCAAGGCTTAATAGAGGAATACTAATCTCTTCCAGAGGTTTCAAATGAAGACTTGCAGCTGTGTAATAATCATCGCTATCACTAAATCCAAACATTGGTGCAATATATCTGTCATCAAACTCTCTGATAGTTTTAGACTTAAGGACATGATCAATGTCAATAGGTCTATTTTCACCTCCTTTCCTTGCCATTGCCAAGTGCTGCATGACAAGCTTACAAAGAAGACTGGTTAAATGCCGATTAAAAATAAACCAATTGAGTGGCTCTTCCAAGGACCTGGATGACTTGAACGTATCCCATGGTACAGAAACTGTCATGGCAGCAATCAATCCAGTTGGCATGCTTTGACCCATTTTTGCCAGGTAATTTGTCAGGATTATTCCTCCCAGTGAAACAGCAACAGCAACAAGGGGTATACCAGGTTTTGTTTTGTGCAAATGGCTGATAACAAACTCTAAATCTTCAGTGTTGGCTGCACAAAAAGTTCTTGGAGTTTTTAATTTCGCTCCTCCAAGTCCACGGTTATTAAATACAACACTTCTATATCCAAGGCTTTGGATCTGTTTCACAAAGTGTAAAACATACCCTTGCTGACTATTTCCAGTCAGGCCAGGCAAGATCAGCACTGTTGGGTAACCATCAGGATCTTCAGAACTTTGACTACCATTATCGTGCCAATCTAAACAGATTTCTCCTCCATCAGGCGTATTCAAAAATTCTTGACGATAGTGAACAACTGGATGGCTCCTCATTATACTGCCAATGATTGTCTGTCCTCGTCCTCCATAGCACCAAATGGTAGGCCAGTATGGTTCAGTCATTATCGGGCAGTGCTTTACTAGAAATGACCTCAAAAATGACCCCTGTTTGGCTATCAGACGAGGTTTTCTTGCTATGTTTAACACGTAGTAAGAAACACAGACAGCCAGGGTACCAACCGTTACTTGCAAATATGGCCATTCTGGAAGAAAATCAGAAAATCCACTGACAGAATCCATGACAATCGAAACCTCCTTCATCAACCAGCTAGTGGTTGACTTTCGATTTGTTATTGGACTTTGGACTTTCATGTTCTAATCTATTTAGCATTTACCATGACGTCATATTATTCCAGTCCTACGCGACTTTTACCGCTGTATCAAAAGATTGCTGTCTCCTCTTCCAAATCCAAGATGGCGTCCGTAGCTCGTGGAAGACTTGGTTGTTCTTTATCATTTTCCGTACGTCTTTTTCTACAAAACTATTCGCGAGGCTTAAGTACAGCAGCTAAGCATTTGGAGAAAGATGGCATGTCGAAAAAAGAGTTGAAGAGAGTTAATAAAGAGGCAAATATGAAAGTCCAGGTTGACTACAAGGAAGCGACGAGGAAAGTGGTCTCTCTTTTTCGAGAAGAACGTTTGGAAAATCTTCGACAGCGTGAAGCTGCTGAGGGAGAGCAGCAAAAGCTCCTTGAGCGTGAAAAGGTTGAAGAAAAGAGGATTATTGAAGGCGTCAAGATGGAAAATTTGAAACTGGCAGATATGAGGTTTGTTGCCCCGACCATCCCCCACCGGACCCCCCC